AGAATTCAGTTTTAATCCGTGCAAAACTAGTGAACCAATCAGAACACTTGTTTACGATAAGAAGAATTTCCCGCCAAATTAACAAGGCGACCCAACACCTACCTTTGTACAGCATATCGGGTTACAGGTTTTTCCCGCGCGCGGGAATCTGAGACAATCGCTGGCAACTAAGTACGTGACGGAGTGTGACAGGCTGAATAATAATAATAATAATAATAGATGGTTTATTGAAAGTAATTTGCAGCCACCGGGCTGAATTGCATACCTTGTACAATTGCTAAAAAATCTTAAATTACAAACTAACAGTACTCATTGAAACTCAATATAGAAACTCATTAACACAATATAGAAACTCATTAACACAAAATAGAAGGCTTACTATTAATTTCGTAAGCCTAATTTCTAAAGTTCTAAACGGGAAATATGCGGCTCCAGATGTCTTACTGAGGGACGACTACGTGTGCGAGATAGCGTGTAGCTTGAGGAATGAATCCCCTCTACTATATACCACAAAATCTGACAGAAAATACATTTTTTAGTTACCTTTTGATATTTATTAGTGGTCGTCTGGAATAAATATTTTCTCTCTCTCAAAAAAAAAAGAGAATCCCGACAGACTATCCTAACTTGACTATGATGATAGATGTCTGTTCACCTGTGTCTCGAAAGGTCTAAGGTTTTAGCCATCAAGGGAGCAATCACTGGGAAGCTAGTTCCAGGAGTCAACTTGGTCCACGTACGGAAAAGACCCTTTCTGCATGAAACTAACCACCTCCGGAGGTACGTAGCCTTTCTACGGGAATGCGGATCCTAGACTTCGTCAAAAACAGAGAGTAAAATGGGCCAAGGGAGTCCGGCCGCGGGGAGGTAGTTTCTTTCCCTCTGCGCGGCCAATCAAACCTACAAGGCGGCCAAACTCCCCTGGCAAATATTCTCCTTTATATAGCAAGCGTAGTTAGTCTGGTAGAGACTTGCAGGTGTGTTATGTGGAGAAAGAAAGAATGACTTGTCTGTGTGTCAAATCCGGTGTCTTTTCTGAGAAAGTTGGCTAGAGCATCTACAAAGACAAATATTGTAGTTAAATTGTACAGTCGAAAAGTTGGGTAAGTCAAATTTCATGCGTTGGAAATTAGGATTTAAAGTTGCTTCGTAATGGCCAATTTTCACGCTTCAACATTTCATCCTTTGATATTGTACAGGTAGATGCAATAACTCATAGGCTAGATCTGGATGGAGAGGATTCTCTATATTCTCTGTGGGAGATATGGTTTTACCCTTTGTATCCCAAAGTCCATAATTATGCAGAATGTGGGACTATTCATCATCCACTGCCTTCAAAGAAGAAGTCGAACCCCATAATAGCTAGCGTAGTAGTAGAAGTAGACGTTTTTCCAGACAGTTGTTACCTGTCTCCTGTTACTGTTTTGCAACGATACTTGATTGTACAGGCAATTAGCCTTCGGGCACGATTTTGCAAAATAAAGTTATAAAGTTATATTGAGCTTGTCGAAAAAATCTCGTATGGGTGCAATGAACCTTTATATAAGAGTTTATTGAACCTGTGTGGGTACATTGAATTGTACGAACGGTGGAAGAATAGCTCTTCAGTGAGCTAAAACTGTATCGATGTCATTTTGAGGATTTCCGGTGCAATGAACTTTTATGGGTGCATTGAACCTGTGTGGGTACAGTGGATCCGTAAACACAGTACTTGAATATTGTACGAACGGCGGAAGAGTAGCTCTTCAGTGAGCTAAAACTGCATCGAGGTCATTTTCAAGAAGGGAGGAAAGGAAGTCAGATTTCGGCGGAGGAATCATTAAGACATTTTAATAACATCGGTGCACATGCAATCAGTCATTAGCCTGGTTACCAGACCTATTATACCTCCTACATACTTGAAGAAAAAAACTAGGAGGATTCCGGTACAATGAACTTTTAATGGGTGCATTGAACCTGTGTGGGTACAGTGTGTCCGTAAACAAAGTACTTGAATATCGTACGAACTGCAGAAGAGTAGCTCTTCAGTGAGCTAAATCTACATCGAGGGCATTTTCAAGAAGGAAGGAAAGGAAGTTAGACTACTGCGGAGGAATCATTAAGACATTTTAATGATCTTATATCGATGTACACGCAAGCAGTCGTTCCTCCTGAAGCTACGAAAAAAAATCTTATTAATTTCTCTAGTTCCCTTTCTTGCCACCTTTCTAGCGAGAAGCCATTAAGACCTCTACACATTTTAATGGTCCTTTTCATCTATCGTAAGTGCACATGCAAGTGCACACGCAAGCAATCATACCAGTTGACATTCACGAATACGAAGAATGCAACGCACTTGGAAAGGCAGCTGTTGCTTAAGTGTTTGGCTTAATATGTGACTAAAATAACCCATTCTTAAGTGTTTTTCTCGTGTTGAAGTCATTTTTCTTTAACTATCCCTAGATGAGGTGAAGGTGTCCCGCCCTGAATAGAGACGGGAGGCGCTACACGCTACATTTGATCTACTGCATTTTTGTAGTGTTGAAATCATAATCATTTCTGTTTAACTTTTCCAACATGAGTGCGAAAAAGGTGAAGGTGTTCTGCCCCTGAATAGAGACGGGGGGCGCCACAACCTATATGCTACATTGGATCCACTGTCCATCGTGAGAAGTCCAGGTATGCAATCTGAATATAATGGCATATAATCTGCATATAATGTACTTCTTCAATGAACCAGCCATTCATTAAAAATGCCATAAATTGTATTCATGACAAAGACAAATTTCATTCTGGGTTCCCAGTCTTTTTCTGCCTCTATTTAACTTTGAATCATACACTAGCATACAATCGCAGACCTAAGATTTTTTTTGTATTCAGAAGCACAGTGATGAATACAAATTAAAGGTCATGGACTAAGTGACTGCGCACTCAGGTTAGGTATAATTTATATTCTCCCAGCCACTTTTACAATGGAACAAAAGACATTTACAAGACATTTGAAAAACTATGGATAGCACGAGTCAAACCTCAAATCCCAGAAGAGAAGGAAAGCACAGCAGGACACATACAACTAGAAGCGTTTTGTTTCTGTAAGAATTCGAATTGCATTGTGCCTCAATAGCAGCTTACAGACCTACAAAAGGAATTCTACCAGCGTACACAGATTTTTCAAACAGATTGAATATGTGACTAGAATACGTCTTTTGTCAAGTGTTTTTCTGGTACTGAATGTAGATTGTGTTTCTCTCCCAAGCAAAAAGACACTCGTCAGTTTCTTTGATGTAAGCAACAGATGGTGGGAGCGTTTCATCTCAGAGATTAAATTCGTCCTGTAACCATTTGATGATGATTGCCTGGCCAAATTTCGCAGCTGAGTGTGACATCTTGTGTTACAGTGGCCCCTATTGATGTGTGTTAGGCCACACTGACTTAATCTTATGGGTGGCATCCACGCGCATGAATTTTCGTCAATTTGCAAAAAAGAGTAGCTGCAAAATGAGCAAATATATACCGTAAATTGAACAAAATATTGTTAAAAGATACGTCGCAGAATGCCCAAATCCATTCCAAGGTACAAGAAGACAATGTATAGGAATGAAAATGAAGAGTCTATTATTCACCATGCCAATAAAATCATTTTTGTGTGTGTTTAGTCATTTGTTCAACATTCATGACAACCTAGATGTCATAATAAAGGCAACTTTTTTTGCCAAACTGTTTTTATTCGCACGCTCGCATCAGATTTGGGGTTCTCAAATCATGTCATCCATATAATCAATGCAACATAGCCTTAGAATATTGCAGTCACGATTGGTTGGCCACGTCTCTGCGGCTGACCACGACTGCGTGTGAAGAGTGGCGGTATAAACTAACCCCTGCCCAAACACGCATGCATGACTAGATTACAGAAAATCACTGAACAAAATGCCCCAATATTGTTTTACTGCTAAGTACATGTACCTAGCCACGACTATGAATTATTTACCTCGCATAATATATGCTGGTAAATTACATTCATTTTGTAGCTGTTTTTGAAGAGTGGTGGTTCCAATTGACCCCTACCCTAACACGCCTGCATCAGGCCTTGTTGATTTGGTTATATAGATGACATCCGCGCGCGCATGACTTTTGGCAGTTTCCAACAAAAAAGGGTTTTCAACCATACTGTACATCGTACAAAACAGTTGCAAAATGAGAGGTCCCAGATGATGCCATCCATATAATCAAGTCAACACGGCCTTACAAGATTGCACAAAATCACAGAATAAAATGACCCACCAATATTGCATGTCTCACTCCTCACTACATGGACCTAGCCACGGATAATAATTATCTACCTCACACACATGCTTGCAAAATTGCATTCATTTTGTGGTAAAGAAGCTGGTATAAACTCAGCTGCAATCTGAGGATCAGAGAACGTGCAAGGGACAGTTACGGTCATCATGTATAACAGCATAGCAGCGGCACAGTCTATGTACTTAGGTACCATTAGGAGCTACACTGAGATTATGCACGGGTTGCATGATTATGACGGTTTTCTATAATATTACCTTTATCGAGATAGAAGGTAAATATGTTTTTTTTGGCAGCGTATGGTTTTGTAATTAGGTTTTAGGTTGAACAAAATAATTCATGAAGCTATGGATAAATTTTTTTTCAATATTTGGATAGGCGTTGTCCGATAAAAGGATTGATTATCATTTGAACTGTCAAGTTATAATGTTAATGGTCTTTGTTTTCGGGAAGAAGCAATAATGTCTAGTTACCGGCAGGTAGTCGTATAAGCTAGTATAACCAAACATGTACAATTACAAGTGAACACTTGTACATACTATATTAGAAACAATGTGGCCATTGTTGCCATATTTGAGGGATATGCGTGGACTGTCAAAAACTAGGCATGGTTCTGAATACAGCACGGTTCTGTCTACAACATGTAGAGATCTTGCCATAGCAGTTTCAATCGTATACCAAATACCACAATGATCCAAGCAAAGCTCTAACTTTTCCGTCAACAACAAAGCCTAATCTATGCCTTGTGCCATGTAGAGATGGTGTTATGCCTGTTTTGTACTCTATGCCTTGTGCCATGTAGTGAGTAGTTACTAGTTACATAGTTACTACTGTGTACTCTATGCCTTGTGCCATGTAGTTAGTAGTTACTAGCTACATAGTTACTACTGTGTAATCTAAGCCTTGTGCCATGTAGAGATGGTGTTATGCCCCGTCTCCAGACCTTTGGTGTGTCTGTTGTGATGCACGATTTTCCAGCGGAGCATCCACGGACCCTGGATAGTCGGGTCAAACTCGTCATCATTCGCCTCCTGGTCTGTATCTTTCTGTTAGGCAATATGTAAGAAAAAAACAAGGAAGGTAACATCTGCAAAGCAAATGCAAAATGTTTGCCACCGCATATGGTCTGCTCTTCATACTCAATTAATTAATTCTTACTCAAACACATTCATGTATATGGTCAGAGAGGAGCTGCTATAAAATTGCAACATAATGTAACCCAGCAACAGTTACCATGGTGAGAGGCAGTCTGGTTGACCAGGCCAGAGGTCAGTGTTTGGAATGGAAAAAGAAGAAGAAACTGAGCAAAAGCAATATGTTTTCCTTCAGTAAACATAAAAAGAGTTTATATAATATTATGTGACAAATGACAAACAGTTAAGTGGTAATATGTATGTATTTATGTATCTATCTATCCCCTCATACTATCTATGAGAAATGGCCACATCAGACAGATTTCGTAATTCAGATTTTTTTTCTGTTTTTCCACCTTTGGGTGTCTTTAATTATATAACTGTTAAATTGATCCACAATCTCACTAGGTTCGAGTCCTGACATGCAACCGATCATGTGCCCTTGAGAAAGGCACTTAACACAACTTTCCTCACTTAATTCAAGTGAAAATGAGTACTGCCCTGCCCTGTATTTGTCCTCTGCGTTGGTGGCGGTATAAAATAAGTTTATATAACTTGAGTATGCCGTCACCATGTATAGTCATGAAATGTTGGAATTAAAAAAAATATATATATATCACCATCTTGTCGTCATACTGCGTGTGCTTGCTGACGTCAGCAAACCCTTCCCAGACGGGCTTGTACCCAGGATCCTCCTCGGTCCTCATGAGAACGGGCTTCTTGTCTCCCCAGAACCCTGAAGGTTTGGCGGGGTCCTGCCAACGGAGGTCCAGACTCCACCGGATGTCATTAGAGTTGTTCTCTAGACTAGGGAAAGAACGAGGGAGTCAGGAATGGCAGACCTCACTTAGAAAAGAAGGCTCTCTCTCTCTCTCTCTCCCCTCTCTCTCGTTTTCTCTCTCACCTCCCCCCCTCTCTCACTCTCTCTTTCATCCGAGTTGTTTTCTAGACTAGGGTGGAGGGAACAATGCAATCGGAGATAACAGACTTCACCCCCTTAGAAGGGAAGACTGTCTCTCGAATATGAATGCCCTCTGACAGAACGTAAAGAAATTGCATTGCAGAAACACACAGTCGTTACCTGCGGTGTGGAACACAGTTGTTGAGGAAGAGGACACCGCCATATGGCACTTCACATGTCACGACATCTTTCTTCATGTCGCAGCCTGGCAGAGAAAAAAAAAACTGGTTGTAAAAGGAAAGAAATTTAAGTATACACGGGCGGGTATACACAAGTATCAATCGGGACGGGGGGCGATACCGACTACTAACAACCTTTGACCCATTGATAATCCGATACCTACCCAGAGTTTTCTCCATGTCGTCCTCCGCCAGTTCCACGTACCAGGTTCCCCCGGCACAGCAGACGTGCGGCGCCGTGATACCCTTCTTATGGCCGCCGCGGACAATCTGGAACACATGAGTCAATGAATAGAAACGTAGTACATAGTACAAAAAAAGAAAAGGGTATAGAATGAAAATTGACATCCTTATAAATAAACATGAAGAGTTAATGGTTTTGGAAGCGGCTGCCTCAATACATGTACGTACCGGGCTTCGAAAGAGTAGAAATTGTCCAAATTGACACACACACACACTGATATGACTCCCCTGGCATGTTGCCTGTCTGTTTGAACAGTTTCTGCTTCTTGCAGCCACTTTTGAAGCAAGGTTGAGACCACTAGATTTCTTACCTGCATGCAACCGTTCTCCCTTGTAGCGTTGAGCAGTGGGATCCAGGCGGTGGGCTGGAGGGTACCGAGGGAGGGAGGCTGGAGGTAGGCATTGTCTGCAAATCCAACAAGTTAGGTAGTTGACAGATATTACACATTTAAAGAGAGACTCCATCGTCAGTTCAGTCATTTTTTGTTCTACTTATCCATCCATTTATCCAATCACCCACCCAACCATTCATTCATTCATTCTTTCATCTATCCATTCATACGTTCATTCATGCATCCATATCTTCCACTATTCATTAATGACATACCCACCCTGATGCCACGGAACGGTAACTTGTTCGTTGCTCGGAGTCTGTGGAAAAAGTGAGAATGCAATGTTTACCTTCCATGCCCTTCCATTGATTGATTCTCATCACAACAAAATTGCTGAAGATAAAATTTCAATCATGTAACCTGTATATAAACAAAGGTTCAAGAAAATTAAACACCAAGCGACCTTAGTCCTAAGGTTCCAGACAGGATGCCCGGCGATGTCCGGTCCCACGAACTGTTCCACGGCGTTCAGAAGCCGATCATTCGTCCACAGATCCCGGAACGCCTAACGGTGAAGACAACATGTACAACTTCATGCCAGGTATTTGTCACGGTGAACATGTGGACACATAACTTTCTTGTATCCATACCCCTCTTTTGGGATAAGATTGGTTTCCTCCGGTCCATTGCCAGAACGCTAGACCCTTCCACAGCCCTAGACCCTGTTTCCACTGTCTTACACGATCCATTTTTATTGTCTTTCCCGTTGGGTAACGGTTATATTATACCTTGCTGACCAAAAACAAGGATTCTTGTGATCTCCTTTGCAAAATTATGCCTTTCGCTCACACTTAAAGCAGCATTACTAGCATTTACTACTTGTGTGAAAATGGACGGGATGATTCTGATCATCCTTACCTGTGGCAGTTTTCCCCACTTGTGCAGAATCACGGCCGTGCCAGGAAACTCCTTCTCCAGAAGCGTGAGCCGCTGGAACAACCCCGCCCCATTGTGGGTATCTGTGGAAGTGCAGCCGATTAAAGTGATATTTATGTTTACCAATTTGAAAGGAAAACATATCGTTTTTGCTCTGTTTTTCCACTTCTTCCCCAAACCAATAAGGTGAATGACCTGAACCAGACGTCTACCACCATGGTAACTGGTGTTGGGTTACATCATGTTGCAATTTTATAGCAGGAGGGATTTATACTCCTGTCCGACCATATATACGGATGTGTTTGAGTAATAATTAACAGAGCAGACCATATGCGAAGGTAAGCATTATGCATTTGCCTTGCAAATGTTACCTTTTTAGTTGTTACTTGTTAGGCCAGGTCACTTTCTGGTAACGCTAAATGATCATGGCTGTCCGTATGTTATTCAGTAGTAGAATTTGAATTGTCTGTGAAAATCGATTTTCTGGGTGCCTAACGTTTATCAAGTTGTAGACTTTACCTTATTTGAGTGCAAGTGCCATCTGGTGGAACAAACTAAAACTGCACTGCAAATACTAGTAGATGTCGCTCGAATTATTGGTACATGGTCTAAATGTCTCTGTCAATTATGTACTATAATATTGATCTATTTTGTAAGGATATCGTTTCGTCATGTCGAACTTTCGTCATCCTAAACGTACCTTTTGAACGTGTCCTTAGGAAAGGCACTTTACACGACTTCCCCAACTGTACGGTAGAATGTCTTATAGAGTGACGCCTACCGAGCCGCTTAGGCTAATCTGTCTAACTGTGTGCCAAGAACACACTGCGGATTTGTTAATGTGTCAAAGTGTCAACATCACCACATTTGCCATTGAGAGCCGTTCATTTTTCTAAGCGTACCTTTGATCTTGCCCGCCGCGTACATTTTCTCCGCCAGTCTGTCCACCAGGTCCTCCACAGCATCTCTCACAGGCTGGAGCTCCTCTGGCGTGAAGAAGTCTTTCACCAACACGTAACCCTTCCGTTAAAAAAAAGCAAAAAAAAATGTAAATAATAAAAAATGATGCAAATAACGAAAATAGTAAAAAAAACGCTTCAATGAATTTTGTTGTGTGTGTGCCTAGATTAAATGGCTTCTCACACAGAAAAACACATCCGCACATGCACACATGATGTTCAATGTTTATTTATAACTGTCGAATCTATGATTCAACAGTTGGCTAAAACTAATCCTTTTGTTTCAAGGAAAATGCCGCCAAAGTTTTTGTGTGCCTACATTAAATGTTTCTTCCAAAAATTAACGCACATCCGCAGACATTATCTATCATGTAAAATGTCTGTTCAATATTTATTCGTGGCTATTCGTCGCTATCTTTCCCACGCTCTCTGTAATTGTTTACATGACTTTGTGCGTGTGTGTATACGACGTTGCAATTTAAACCTTAGAAAGACATTGAATCGATGCGTTACTATAGCTTCCGCCAAGTTACACTACAGTTTTTTTCAAATATTACTTATGACATGGACTGTCTTTTTTGTGTTGTTCTTAACGTGTCCTGATAGGTGCGCAGTTTAGTGCTATCAAAGAAATCAAAGGTCACCAAATTAAACAAATAAAAGTTTAACAACACTCTTCCAAACTAACCTCTTCGAAAAATTGGTTGACCTGTTTCTCCGTGAGTTGTCCGGGTTTTTTCTCCTTAGGTTGCGGAGGTTTGGTGACGTAAACCTCTGGACAACACACGGGAGGTGAAGTCTTCTTACACGGAGGTGTTCCGTCGTCTGCTGCCTTGGCCGCCATCTTTGTTCGATTCGAGTGACCTTAAGCTTTGTCAGCAGGTCGCCCGGACTTTGGTATGACCTCAGATGACACCATTTTCTGCACGTAAGCAAACTGGTTTGTTTTCTTACTCCGTTTGCCTTGTAAATATGTTTTGTGGCTTCTTTTGTGGCAGTTTTTAGTTTATTCATGCATCTATTACTATGATAATGGGGGTTAGTGGCCACTTTGCTCTAGGCATGCGTGTGTGCCAATTTTTTTTCTTAATTCTCAAATCAGGATTCTTCAAAGCAAATTTTTCATTTTTTGTGTTGAAATATAGTAGAAAAACCGTGTTTTGATAAAACGTATAAACCGAATGATAGTTCATTAACATGACAGGCATATGTAATATTCCACATAGGACAACCCTCTGAAGATGGACCCAAAAGCTGAGAAGGACAGTAAGTGTTTTATATTTTATATGTGTTTGAATATTTACAGAAACACCATTCTGTACCTGAGTCAAAGAAGGCATCTGTGTCCGCTTGTTGAAGGCTGTTGTCCTTTGCCGCAATCCCCCTTTGTGTCGATATATTAATTTTGCTGTCTCCAGAGTTTATAATTTGACACACAGATTAAATGCCCCTCCCCCCCCCCAAAAAAAAACATGCACGCACTTTCACAGACACACACACACACGCACACATTTATCCGTTGTGTGAAATTTTTGTTTCATGATTATTGATTATGTTGATATGTGCCGTATGATTCGATATCTTTGCTTAATGATTGCCAAGTCTGAATGCCTACATTTACGAGTGATCGTCATGAAGTCACGACCAGAGGGTGGAAGTTGGATGATTCCCCAATCTATGATTTGCATATGACTACCAATAGTTTGCATATGACTACCTATAATTTGCATATAACTACCAGTGATTTGCATATGCTTGTCATGCCAATAATTGAATGAGGCGATCTCTTATGATGAGTCCACATTGGATGGGTACAACAGCGCAAGACACGGGAGCAAATTTCATTCATTTATTTATGTCTCATTCGCCATTGCTAGCATTCGACCACAGCAGGTTCATCCTATCGTTGAACGTAAAATTCGATATGCAACAGGAAACTGCATTTCTTCTCTTCCTCGTCAGAGGGCGCGGCATACCAACCACCAGGGCGGCGGTTTCTGCACCTCTCATGTGAACCGCCGGGTGGCGAAAAGTTTCCTGAACAACCTGCTGTTCTGATAATCTCCAAAGAGATCCTAGAGTGGCAAAAGACAATATGAAGTTGACTGGTCAACCTGATACTGTCTTTTGCCACCCTAGGATCTGCTTAACGCTTGGAGATTATTTTTTTGTTTGGAGATTACCGTTCTGATATAAATAAGAAGAAGAGTTTTGGAACCTCAGTCCTTAGCTAGTAACTCTGGTAATTAAAGTCAGATTCTAAGCTCATATTAGACGCACTTAATTCTGTACAGAGCCATCTCTACATGAAGACCATGCTACTTATGCTTTCCTAGAAAAACATCATTATCGAATAAGCTACGACATGATTGTTTTTCATGTGGGTATAACCTTAAACTTTTCATGTATAAAGTCAACAAACATCTGTCCTCACTGTCTGTACAGTAACTCAAAACATTTGAGTGGCTCTCATGAGCCTTGTTTTGTGGTGAACATGACGTAAAAAAAATCCGAGGACGTGAGACCGGTAACTCTATCCGTCCTGCCATCTCTTTTACCATGTTATCGATGTGGTGCCGCTGTGGAAGACGGATGGTCAAAGTTTGTGGGTCTCAGATTCGCAACCTGTTATCCACCGTAAACAAATCCACGGGAAGGCCACCGTGTCAACCCTCCTCACTCAGGTGTAGGAACTGGCACGGTCTCCATTGTCTCTCAAGACAGAGGGATGCCAACAACAACAACAATTATACCATTTTACGATTGAATCTTGACTCGTATCAACATCATCAATGGACGACCTCACTGTAACTATATCCGTCCTGCCGTCCCTTTTCCGTGTTATTGATGATTGGAGCGATCGAAATTAATTAATTAGCTTGAGAATGGGTGCCGGGATTTCGCCATTTGGCGGGTAATGAATTAGTAATCACTTCCGTACGTGTTCGGAATATATCCGTGAATGGTTTCATCAGTTTGGTAAGGCCACACCAATTTTATTCGTTGGCTCTCAGATTCGCCTATTAATTTTTTTTCTGATTTGCAAAAAACATTCTGAATCAACTAAAAATGCTCATATTATGAAAAGTAACTGCATAGCCCCCCTTTCCACATCGTTGAATTGAACCTAATAGAAAACCATCCATTCCTGTGGATTCATTCACTTTATTGTATCGTTATGGCGAATCAGTTAGTAACTTCATGCGTCCGTAACGTGAAGTCTATGTCAGACTGGAGATTACTAATAACGACAGTCCTTTCTTTAAACCTGAGGAAGTATAGACGTATTATTTTGTCTGTGCATGTGTTTGTGTTTGTGTGTGTGTGTGTGTGTGTGGGGGGGTCTGTGTTTGTGTTTTTGTGTGTGTGCGTCTGTGTGCTCGTGTGTATCAAACAATAGACCTTGCAGTACAATGAAATTTTGTTGAGAGTTCATGACAAAAGTCTATTGTGTAAAATACAACAAGCTTTTGGTGCACTAGCCTGTTGATGTGACCTCTCCTGTTTTACCTTGATTGCTTTTGTCAAACGCCTGATGTCGACTTGCTTTACGTTTGGAATCATCTATTAAAATCGTATCTAAATTTATTTGTTCATCCTTGAAGCCACTTTCTGTGATTGGCAGTAAATAACACAGTACAAGGTTTACAATCTGGTCAGGGTCAGAGGTAATAGGTAATGTGAGAAATATCGCGAGGGCTCTGGGAACCAGACGTATCTGGGAACGAGACACAGGTGTCGTTCGATGAGATTGTGCCGCCATCTTTGAATTAACAGTAAAACAGAAAAGTTTCAATCTGTGATATAAATTCCTATGATAATTTTAATATTGCTTTTAAGTGAAAAAAAAACAAGACAAATAGATTTCATTTTAGTCAACATGAAATAACGTACCTTGCAACTCATTGCACGGTAACACGGTGGCAAATACTGAAATAACATAAAGAGTCCATTATTCAAAAAAAGAAATGAGACAACCCTGCAGCAGTACCAGTAGCAGTAGCAGCATCTAACTCTCTGCAACACATGCCGTGAATGTTCTAAGCTTTTGTTGGCAGTTCAAGAAATGGAAATGGCACATGGCCACCAGGCTTCAGAATAATCAGACTGACAGTGAGAGATTGTGTAACAGGCTAATGTTTTCTCGGATGAGACAACCCAGCAGTAGCAGCTAGCTAAGCTTATAATATGTGGTAGTTCTAAAAAAGCCAACAATTCTCTCGAGTTAGACGTAACGTCACATGGCCACCAGACTTCAGAATGATCAGACTGGCAGTGAGAGATTGTGTAACAGGCTAATGTTTTCTAAGATGAGACAAAACGGCAGCGGCAGTAGCTGCTAGCTCCCAGCCGCTGACGGATTGCGGCAGGCAGCGATATCGGCTGCAGACCCGCAGCTCATGATAACCGGATTTAAAAATGACACTCCCCAGACGGTAACGCAGATATCAGACTGTCTGAATCTGATTCAAATTTTTGCCACAATGATTCAATTTATTGGTTCTCAAATCTACCTTTTTTAATTTTATTTAATCCTATTGTGTTATTTGCAATTGGTCATATAAAAAGAAGTGTTATAAAATTAGCGTCTGAAACCAATTCAGATTTTCTGTACTTCGCCACAACAATTAAATTTCTGGGTTCTTAGATCCACCGTTTTAAAAATGTTAATCAATCTTATTATGTGTATTATTTGGTCATATAAAAAGAACTGTTATACAGTAGGCATGCATCCCCTAGACGGCAACACAGATACTAGACTGTCTGAAACTGATTTAGATATTCTGCACTTCGCCTCAACAATTTAATCTATTGTTTCTCAAATCCACCATTTTTATTTAAATCAATCTTATTATGTGTATTATTTGGTCAATATATGAGATAAAAACTGTAACAGTAGGCAGACATCCCCCGAACGGCACCACAGATACTAGACTGTCTGAAACTGATTTAGATATTCTGCAGTTCGCCTCAACAATTTAACTTCTAGGTTCTCAAATCCACCTTTATAATTAATTCAATCTTATTATTTGTTTTACAAGTCTTTGTTCATATAAAAAAGAACTGTTATACAGTAGGCAGGCATCCCTAGAAGGCCCAGACTGTCTGAAACTGATTCAAATTTTCTGCAGTTCGCCACAACAGTTTAATTTATTGGTTCACAGATCCGCCATTTTTATTCAATTTAATCTTATCATGTGTTTTATTTTAACACGAGAAAAGAACTGTTATACAATCTGTGATATAATTCAACCACAGAAATTCTTACTTTTTGCCAGGTTCTGATTCTAAGACTAAACCTCGATATAAAAATGCTATTCATCTCTATTCTGTATGATTGTTGTTATTGGTATTTTTCTATGGTGTTTATGTGTTAGAAATGAACTATATTCTGCCCCACCTACAAGCAAAAAACTCATACATATTGTCTATTCGTGGTTTACTTTGGGTAATTTCACGTTTCATTTTGCGGAAATGCAAAAGATAGCACGTTCCAAATTAGGTCTACATTCAGTGAAATACTCATGCAATTTCATGTTTTATTTTGCGGAAAATGCGAAACATAGCAGGTTTCAAATTAGGTCTACATTCAGTGAAATACTCCATTAAAAGATAGCAGGGAATATATTCCAGGTCTGAACCCTACACGGGCCTTGGGAGGTCCATGGTTGATCGGTTCAATTTTAAAAAGAACTGTTATACAGTAGGCAGTCATCCCGCAGACAAAGTTATCAGACTGTCTTAAACTGATTCAAATCTTCTGTAGTTCGCCACAACAATTTAACTTATCGTTTTTGTTTAGATTTATTTAGGAAATAAATGTAGAATCAACGAATTTCATCA